CTTTATACTTCGACGAAACAATTAGCCTAATTACTAGAACCCTCAAGGCCAGTGAGTTAGGAACCACCACTTGTTATTGTGTTCCTGGAAGTTCTGCAATCCAGGTGAGGGGTTTGTAGAATTGAAGGCTTTCTGGCCTGCTGGTGCCTCCTGCTGGTGGTGTGAAACCTGAAAGAGGGACTCTTACTTGATCCCAGGTGATCTTCCTGTGGAGAATGATAAACAGAGCTCCTGTAGCACTCCTTGCAACCCTTCTCCTTTCCCATCTGGACACTTGCATGGGATTCCGTCTTCCAGCTATTGTTAACCAAGTGCATGGGAGCTGAGGAACACTGAGAAGATGAGAACAAGACTTACATCCGCTCCTATTTCATGCTTCATAATCTATTATGACACACACCTACAAGAGACTCAATACTGAGTAGATCAATACATGAATGTGGATATAGCAGGAGCTCGCTCAGTGAATATAGTCTGCAGTGGTCCAATATCAGCAAGAGTGAAGCTGACCGTCTCTAGCTACTCAGTGCTCATGACCATGAGAATGGTTTACATCACAGAGTGGAGGAGAGGTCTCTATGATTTAGTTGTGAAATTCAGCCCATTTAGTCAGATGTAGTATCATATGCCTAGCATCCTAGCATTTGGCAAGCAGAAACAAGAGATTTTGTATGAGTGTCAGGGCAGCTACAGCAGGAGACCCTGTCTCAACAAAAACAAGACCATATATCTATATCTAACTATAAATGTATATACCTATACATATATATGCTTCATGTATTATTTTTGATTTGTGCTATGAATTCTTTCACAAACTATTTGATATATTGCATTTTAAAAAAATTATACCGGTTACTCATATGCACATAAAATAGTGTCCTTTAGTTCACAAGCCATGTTTGCATAGAGAGCAAATGAGCTTAGTTAAAAGAAATTTATTTTACTCTTTTTTATGTATGTGCATGTGCACCTGTGTGGCTCAAAACTGGGGCTGGGTTCGGGGCGGGTCATGCCTGTGCACCGTGGTTGCGGCTGAGGCAGTCCTCAGAGCTGCGGCTCAGGCCTCCCTCAAGCTACTGCTGCGGTCCCAGTTGATGGTTCGATCTCACCAGCACAGCCGAGCAATCCCCTGAACCGCGGTTGCAGAGGAAAGGGGGAGCCCCGCACTGGGACAAGGAGAGTGGGAACCCAGCATGCCCGGCTGCCTTGGCTGAGTTCCTGGGGCAGCCCGAGAAGGTGCAGGGACTGCTGCTGCAGGGGAGAGAGCCCTGAGGACCACTGGAGCAGGGAGAGTTCCCCATGGACGGCTGCAGCAGGGAGAGGCGGAGAGGCTTTCCCCGTGGGAGTTTCTCACTTACACAAAAGGAGTCCAGAGTTCCAGGAGACATGTGGAATCGAAGATATGGAAGTTTTATTGCCATGATATTTGTATCTGGATGTGAAAGCTCTCCCACCAAATATCAGGAGGGGCTTCCTTATATTGGGAGCAGGGGAGAAGGGCGGGGCTAGGGAGCTGAAAATTTAGATATCTACACCCCGGCCTTTAGGTAATTCATTAATAGGTAAATCTTGAGGCAGAGGCCTGTTAGTCTCATGCCTTCTGTGACCTAGCTTGCAGGTTACATGTTAGGTCTCTGGGTTCTGGGGGCTCGGCCAAACACCCCAGGATTTCTACAATCCAACATCTAAACACCCCAGGATTTCTACAGTCCAACACACCTGTGTGCCTATGGGTATCACAGGCCAGAAGAGAGCATCCGATCCCTTGGAGGTAGAGTAAAAGATAGCAGTGGGTCACCAAATGTAGGTGCTGGGAACTAAACAAGTGCTTTTATAGCTGAGCCAACTCTCCACCCCCAAAGAACTTAGTCTAACCAGGTATTTAAATGATTTATACAATTTTTAAGTCTACAGCACTTGAGCAAAGGTGACTATCCTCCACAGAATGCAGTCTCATTTGAAGAGATGAAGTCTGCAACATGAAAAATACTGAAGGAAGGTAGGTTGTGTCCTTAGACTGTTGGTTTTGAGCCACAGCATAATTCCTTTCACTTTGGGGAAAATTCAAGTAGCAGACAATAGGCCAATTATGATTTGCCACTCTAAGGTCTCTGGTTAATATTCCAAGGAAAATCATAAGATGGTAAATAATTCTGAGCTAGCTGAGAGGGTGATCTGATATGCACTTGAGAGGTCTACTCTGTGTGCCATCATTGGACTAAGCTGGAGTGGGTAAAAATCACCCTGAAGAAAAGCATGATTATCATCATGAAGTTCACCCCGACCTTTGCTCTGTTCCTTCATAAACTATCCTAGCCATCATAGGCCAGTTTGGCTCTCTCTGCTCTAGTGTATTTTGGTAGCGAGTTCATCATACACTGACATAAGACATTGCTCTTGCAGTGAGTTCCAGAGAGCTCCAGAGAGAAATTTGAGGATTTGAGTTCCATTGAGTCTGAAACCTTAGAGTATGTATTGTTCTTGCACAGCATGTACATTATACTCTTAACAAGACCTCTATTTACCATGTTCACACAATTTATGCATTACTACACTCTACTGTCTACAGTGGGTGAGAAGATGCTGATAAAATGTGCTTTAAAATGTGAGCAAGATTTCTATTTCTCTATTGATTGAATTTCTACACAGTGCATTAGAAGAAACATGATTTAAAATGTGACTATACTACTTAATGTAATGTCAGGAAAATAATTTAAACTTCAATTTGCTCAAAGAGATAGCTAAAATACTACAGGGCATAATAATATGGAAAATGTTAATATTCAAAAGAGAACTCTTTATTAGGGAACACAAACATAAAGCCAATTAAACAGCGGAATTTCATTTTATTTTGTCCATTTCTGTGTGTGTGTGTCTGTGTGCATATATGTACATGTACATGTCTTCATGCCTTGGAGGACAGCAGAGGATGTCAGACACTCTGGAGCTGGAGTTACAGGTAGAGGTGTGTCCCTGGGTATGAGTTCTAGGAAGAGAACTGTGCTCCTTTGTGGGGCAGTAGGCTATGAGAAAGCCAGAAAGCTTGGTAGAAATCTTTGAAGCCCCGGAGATCTCGGCCTGAAAAGGGTCAGCAGGATGGGAGGTTGCTTCAGATTCCCAGGCCATATGGCCCGATTCCCACATAGAGACCCGTGACCCTTATCATGTAGGATAACACCTCCATGCAAATAAGGCATCCCCAAGCCCTCAAGCCAAACCAATAGGGGTTACCTGTTCTTCCCCCCGAAACTGTATATATAACCCCAGAGCTAAAAGTAAACGACTACTGCTGTGTGGTGTAAGATCTCCTGCTGTCGGAGTGCTTTCGTGATCCCTCTCCAGTCACGCATTTCAAAGGACAACTCTCCTCCCTCCTCTCTTCTCAGCGGGAAGAGTGAACTGAGAGAGCTGAAACACTTTTCTTCCGTGGGCTCTCACGAGCTACCCCCAGAAGAGAGAACTAAAAGAGCTGATAACACTCCCTCACTTTTGGAGACTGGGACAGAGGTCCCGCTCCACATGACTGGAAGACGTACTCGTACTGTGCCCTGGTTCACAGTTGCGCTCTCCTTCATTGCCGCTGCCGCCACCCCCGCCTCTGGGGTTTTCGGGCCGACCGGAGGCTGCCGTGGAGCACGAGCCCCGCAGTCCCGCTGGCTGCTGAAGGCCCTGGGCCGGCTCTAGAGTCTGCCCGCCCCGCCCCCCCCACCCCGCCCGGCCTGGAGCTGACGCCAGCCGCTGCCGACCCCGGTACCCTGCGGCAGTTCTGTCAGCCGCTCTTCTGGGTCTTGTTGTGCACGCAGGCCTGTGATCCCTAGGCGCGAGCAGTGCCCAACACTCCTCTGTAAGAATACTAAGTATACTGATTCATTTCACCAGTCCCATGTCTTAGGTTTTGAGAGGTTCTCTCACTGGAATGGGACCTTATTTTTTCAAGATTGATTGCATGCAAGCCCCAGGAACTCTGTCTCTGACTTTCCATCGCTGGGAATATGAACTGGGGTTTCTAGGCTTCGACTTTTGATGTGGGTGATGGACAATTAAACTCAGGTTCCCATGTTTGCATGCCAAGCACTAAACTGACAGAGCTATCTCTCCTTAGAACCTTATTTTGGTTTTTACATAGGATCCTACTATCTTGGCTGACCTGGACCTCACCATTTTTCTGCCTCAGCCTCTGAAGTGTTGGGAATGCAGGCATGCAACACCACTCCTTGCCTAAAAGATGCAGAGATGTTTTAATCTTAAAATTTCTAAATCAGCCTGAAGTATAAGGGGTTTGTCATATTTTCACACATGCTTTATTCTTTTATTTGGAGTAAGCAATCAGTTATGCTTTTGTATTCTAATTAGTATCTACTGGACACTGAATAATTAATGTGCACATATTTTTGGTGTTAAAATGACTTTGGAGATGATTATAGCTAACAGAAAGCACCATAGTTGAAGCCCTGAGCTAAGGCTGCTGTAAACACACTTCAATTAATACAGCCATCAACCCTCTCATTATAATTATTTATAGATGATACTGCACTGGGATTAAGGAAATTGAGCAATTGTCACAGATGATAAAGGTTGAGCCAGGAATTCATGACTAAGAATGAATAGAAGAGACAAGAGTCCCCAGTGGAAACTGCTCTAGTAGAGTCTCCCACCTTGACTTCAACCAGTTCCTGTCTTCCCCAAGTTCATTTCTATTTGAACTTCCACAATACAAACCCAGGGCCTAACAACAACTCTTTAAGCCACTAATTTGTCTAAATGTTGCAAGATCCTTGCCCTCTCTTTGAAGAACAGTAGCTGTAAGTTATCTAGGACAGCATAGATTTCAGGGTCTCCTGGTTTTATGTCACATGTAGTCTATTACCTTTTTCTTCCCCCTTCAGAACTTGCCACTCCTCTTCCCATAGCCCACTTTCTTGTTTATAGCCTGTACCCCTCCATGTTTGCACACACAAATAAAATGTAAACGCTAAGATCACATATGAAAAAGACCTGTGGTAGTTGAAGAGATTTTTTTAATGATGGCCAGGGTAAATGTCTGTACCTCCCTCTCTCCAAGATAATTTCAGTGTTATCCAGAATCTGAGTGAAACAACATTCAGGATTTAGGCTTATCTATAGATTCTTCAAGGTCACAAAGCTTCTTCCTTCATATTCCTCTCTCTCTCCGGGTGCTGATGTTCTGTTCATCCTGACTCATCACAAAACTTGCATCCTTCACTCTTTCACCAACTATGGCAACAACAATTCCAGATTATCTTGAGTCTTTCAGTTTGGCAGAGACCTGTGGAGAGTTGCTTGGTCCTCAGTGGTGGCACAGGGTCCTAGATCAGAATAGTTTTCCCCTTATGCCTTCCTTCATAGTTCCACACAAATTGTGTATTATTTGAGGGCAAACAAAACTTATCTTATGCTCACCCTGTCCTGCAGCTCTTGTTTTGCTTTTCTGAAGATGTCACTGAATCTTAGACAAGCAGAGGGATCTACCTCTTTATTCTGTATGCCCTCCAGTGTGCTCCACTGAGATGGATCACTTCTAAGCAAGGCCCTTCATGGCCAAAGCTTCAAATGTACCAGCCTCCATGACCCAGAAGTACTACATCAAACTTATTTGCTAGGCTTCATACTATTTCAAAGAAGATAAAATTCATGTAAATGTTTATCAGTCAAATTAAATTTAAAGTGATGTCAATGGGAAGGAATACACATCATGGACAAAACAAGACAGTGCTCTTCATGTTCTTTCGGATGGAAGAAATCTTCATACGCACCGGCCTTCTCTGGTACAAATATAGTCTTTTAATTCATCACAATGGGTACTGTCAATGCCATATTGATGAATAAAGGCACACTGACCATGATCTTGGATTTCATATCTGGAATAAAACAAAAAGATGACTTTATTATGAGGCCCAGTTCACATAGTAAATGAATCTAAACTTTGGTGATTGTGGTTCAAATGTGCTCTGTGGAGAGGAACCTATGCAAGGTGTTGTTGTTCTCTTGCCAACCATCAACACTTAACTCCCAGACACAGACAGGGAGGTGTCTTGTGTCTCTGCAAAAAAGCAGCATGGCCTGGGACTCTGTGCTCCTAGCAAGGAGGAAAGAAAACATCATAACCATTCAAAGAGGGATCAGCTTCCTCTATGTATGTCGGTAATGAAAATGAATAAGTCAACATATTAAGGCATTTAGAGGTGATGCATGGGTAGAGTGTAATTGGCAGTTCAGGGACCATCTTTTCTTGCTTTTCAGTACAGGTCTGTCATAACGTTCATGTATGAGTTCACTTGGCCACTCTGTAACCAACTCTAGTGTGAGATAGGTGTTATTTCCTTGGCAGGGTGACAGGGTGTGCACAAAGCCCTATGCAGAGTTGTTAGCAAAAATTTTCTAAGTTCCCACTGTAGGTCACATATACAAACATGTAACGTTGAGCATTCAAAACAAGAAAACACAATAGTGAATCTTGGTGATGTTCTGATTGTCACATAATCAAAATGCCTTCAGTACCTTATTTTCAGGGAGGAACATCATCACTGGTGTACCCTTTGCTGATTTCCAAGAGACCCTCAAGTTTTAATCTTATTCTTTCCTAAAATATGTATGTATAGTCAACTCTTCAGCATCCTTGAGGAAGTAGTTAGGGACCGCTGGCCACAGATACTCAGGTCGGGTCCCCTACATAAAACAATGCAGTGCTTGTATAGCTCCTGTCACAGACTTCAGATTGTCTCTTAGATAATTTATGTAGAATCATGTCCATGTTAGGTAAATAGTAATGATGCTGCTTGTCAGGCTATGATAACAAGAAAATAAGTCAGACACATTCAATACAGTCATGATAAGTTTGCTCTTTAAAAGGCTTTCACCTGGGGTTGATTGAGTCCATACATGGAACATGTAGATGGAGAGGTGCTGGACTTCCATGCCAACACATACCCAATGTGCCAATGTTCCCATTAACTGTTATGGGAGTCCCATATGAGGAAGCCCTACTCCTTGATGGTTCACAAAGTAATCATATTTAAAAATAAAGTTTTAAAAGGAACTACTAAATAAGATGACTTTTTTTATTTTGATGTTTTGAACTTAGATTCATTATCTGGATTAAAATAATGTCATTTGGGTGAACACTAATCTCATGTAATCTGACTGTTTTTCCTTTGCCTTTGCCATGTTGGAAGTGAAGCCAGAGCCCTTTGTATCCCTAAGTAAGTCCCTCACCCCAGGCACCACTGATGCTCTTTTAAGAAGAAACAGCTGAGGCACTAGTATGTATACAGGTTGAGCCATAGGAAGACAAAGTAAGAGGGCAGGAACCTACACAGCAAAGAGAGAGGGCAGAGAAAACAGACCCCAATGACAACTTGACTATAGACCTTGAAATTCCAGATATGTTGCTTATGCTGCTTCGTTTGTGTCATTTATTGGGGTGACCCTAGCAAACTAACACAGCAACTTTCACCAGCTCATGGTTTTACCTTTCTCTCAGTTTTTCTTCTTTTTCTTCTTCTTTTTCTAATGGGATACATAACATCTTAAGCTGTCAATATTTTCTTTCAAGAGACACCATGGGTATTATGTTTTGTATTTAAAGTTTATCTTGTGTCACATATTTTCTTATATGCTTTCAAGTAGAAAAACCACAATTCTTGGTTATATTGCTGCTTGCAAGTCATTGTGTATTTTTAACTAAATTTCAAGGGAATACAATAATCATAGAAACTTCTTTAAGTTGAAGAACTTCTGCAGAGGAACAATGTATTAATACCATGGAGTGAGCACCTGCCTTAGAGAAGGCACTCAGTACATGGAAGTTTGTGGCTCCTCTGTGAAAAATACAATCTTCTAAGTCTTTCATTCACTCTGAAGTTGGGAGGTGGATTTTAAATGTTTCCAGAACAAAAACAGAGTCTAAGGATACAATTAATTCTTCACGTTGGGACAGCAGAGAAGTTCTGGAATTTTAAGTAAAAAGAAATCAAACTTCTCTTTTCCCAATTTATTATATATGTATATAAAACTCACTCCATAGTATTTATATATCATACCTCTGCAGAAGTTCCTCAACTGAAAGAAATTTCCATGGTTATTGTATTTCCACAAAATTTAGCTTGAAAACACACAATGGCTTGTAAAATATATATCTTCAGATCCTCACTCCTTACCAATAAGAAGTGAAAGGACACACACACGCACACATACACACACACACAATGTGCACACAAAGACAGTTTTACTCAGGCAAGATCTAAACTGACTAGATTTAGGTCAAGTCTAGAATGAAAGGAAGACAGTGAGCAATTCACTTAAACACACAGAACCAAACACTGGTGCTTGAGGGAATACTGTCCCTAGAGACCATCAGTTTGTCTGAATCTTCTCTTCAGCTTCTGTTGGAGGGCCTATTTAAGAAATGTATTTAAAGAAACAGTAGATGTGTCTGTTTATAGAGGTAGAACTTTGACTACAATTCACAATTAACACTAAATAAATATGAAGGCTTACAAATCATTGTATTTACTTCCATTTGTCCAAAACCAGATTCCGAGTGTATTTTTTCTGTGCAGTCCAATCCAATATGTTTGCATCTCATGCATTTGCTTCAGTAAAATTTCCTGTGACAGAACAGAATGCTATTAGGGTCATCACCTGATGGTCTCAATCTCAGTCCATGAAAAGGTTACTGCCCTTGTCTGACTCCATCATGTTCTTACCACAGGTCTTGCAGGGGATGCTGAGCACCCAACTCCCTGTGTTTATATTTGCTACAGCAAAGAAAATGATTTTGTAAAAACTCAAGTTAGAGCAGGATCAGAGGTGTTTGTGACTACATTGCCTGCCTTTGGGATCCTTTCCTTCCTTCTATTGGGCTGCCCTTGTTTAGCCTCAATAGAAGAAGCTACGTCTAGCCTTATTCCAACTTGTTATGATAAAGTTGGTTGATACCTTTTTGGAGAAGAAAAGAAGGAAGAGAGGAGGGGGGAGGAGGGAAAGAAGGAGGGGAAGAGGGAGGGGAAGCTGCAATCAGGATGTGAGGTAAATAAATTATTATTATTTTTAAAAAGACTGAGGTTAGAACACAGCACTTTTGTCCTTAATTCTAAAAACAGTTCCCTGTTTTGCCTGAAGCAAAACACTCAAGTTTCTGTAATGTCTTACTGGACCCTTGTGGTCACACTCTCCCTCGCTTCTCAGCTTCAGGCAGGGTGATTGACTATTTTTTGGTTCCTTGACTATTCCAGGTATTTACCCATCTGAAACCTGTGTCGCAGCTGATTTCTTTCCCCAGACTCTTTATCCCTTAGGTACTCCCTACACTACCTGCCTTACCTGCTTCATTTCTTTACTCCAATGTCATCATTTCAAGCACATGTGAGCTTGTCTCCAATCTACCTTGGAGAAGAGAGGAAATGCTTTGATTTGTATCTAACATACTGTGCAATTTATATGTTTTCTATTACCACTTCTAGTTTTCTATCTTCCTTCTGAGCTCCAAGTTCCCCACAGCCAAAAGATCTGAGTCAACTATTCAGCATGCTGAAGTGGGAAATCTAACCAATTCCGTGTTGTCGTTGAACAAAGCCAGAGTTGCACCATGGAGTTTGCAGTTCTCCTTGGCAGTGGACCATGAATTTTTATGTTCGGCACGAGAGAAACAGTTCCGACGTAGTTTGTTCCAGCCACCAATGCATAGCCTCACTTCATCGTCGCATGTCTTGTTTCTGGATAGTCTTGTAACTGTATCTAAAATAAACACAGGACCTGAAGACACTGTGAGAAAAATGAATCTGACTTTCACTGTGAAAGATTTCTCTGTATGTCACACTGATAAACATGCATTTCACATTCACATCACATTTTAGTCATTGGACTTTAGCCATCAAGTCTATGATGAAAGGCCAACCAAAGTGGACAGCAAGAGTGAAAGAAGCATTAGAGAATTAAGATCTATGTGAAATTAAAAAACTGTAGTGACCAATTTCCAGAAACATAACATTCTCTGACTATTCTCTCATATTGTTATAATAGTGGAATTTATTTACTTATTTTCTTACTTCTCTTAAAATTGTATGTGCTACCTGAGACAAGTCCTCCAAATGAATCCTCTATAGCTGTAACATCAAAGGGTTGGTTCTCTCCCAGTGACCTAACCAATATTCAATTGTTTCTCAGTAAAAGCATTTTCTCAAAAGTTGAAGCTATTTCTTTGTCCTTTGTTCTTGAGCAAATTAAAAAAGGGGAAAACACTAAAACTGTATTAACTTTTACAACATTTCCTATTAAACTCACAGCACTTGATAGATGGAGTTACTTATTTATGAATAACCCTGAAAGAAACAGTATTTAAGGCACTTTCTCCCATGCCTGGAAAAACAAATAGACAGATAGACAGACAGACAGACAGACAGACAGACAGACAGTCTTGTTCCTTCTCATGCTTATGAATGGGAGACTATTCAATTGGAAGCATTAACTAGCAGTCAAGTTCTATATACCCCCAGAATATTCATGTCACTGAAATTACTTGACAAATAGCACGTCCCAAATTACCCCATATATTAGGTTCAAATAAACAACTACTATCACAGTCAAAAAGTTTGTTCAAAACCTATGCTATCAGAAATCCAATTTTATTATTCATCCATTAGTTTATATCTTCTTTTCTTTGTACATCTGACCACCCCCAAGCTAACCAATTACCCTGTATTGAGGTCAAGAGATAAGCATGACTGCTGGATACCAGGACAACGTTCAGGGTAGGGTTAGACAAAGGTGATGCCTAGGAAAGACTTGAGGAAAGGTAGACTAAGGAGGTATGTCTGCCTTCACAGTAAGAATGGTTTTTTTCTCTGCTAAACAATGGGAAAAGACGATGCAGAGGCCCTGACCGCTCACCAGATAATGAAGATGTGCACACCAAGTGAAGGATTAAGTAGTACAGGTAATCAGAAGTCCAGGGTGACTAGGTGCAATAAGGACAGTGTAACTATTCATTGTACATTGCTCTAAGTGAATTAAAAACTATGCAACATTTCCATCAGATCTAATAATTCTTCTGAATTGTTAAAAATAAACTCTATTCTTACATAAAGGTGTCATTAGCCACATGTGACTATTGAACCTTGAAATATGGCTGGTTCAAATCCAATTCACTTTTATTATAAAGACATCATAGAAAAAAATGTAAAAACACCTCATTAGTAGAACTTTTGCTTATGTAATATATTGGCAATTGCTTTAAGAGGTCAAGGGTAGAAGAGAGATGACATCGGAGAATAAGATGCATTCCAGTCCCGTGAATCAGCGAGAATGGAAAGAGTTCACATCTGCCTCAGGGAAAGAATAGGCATAATTTACTAATTATATTTGGAAAGTCAAAAACATGTAAAGGACAATAAGTAAGGGTTTTTGAGCTTTGCAGTTGGAAGGATAGACTTTCTGTTCCCTGAGATGAGGAAGACTATAGATGAAGGATGTGAGAGAAGAGAGACTGATCTGAGGCTCAGACACTGAAGCTGCAGCTCAGTTAACACACTGTTTGATGTTAAAAGTATGAAGAGCAGAGCTAAATCTCTAGGACTCACAGGAAAAAGTTGCAGTGGAGAGGCAGGTCTCTGGGAGGTATTGGCCAGCCAGCTAAACCTAACCTAAGCCACAGGAACTACTAAGGGTCCTTTTCTCAAAAAAAAAAAAAAAATAAGGTGGATGAATCCTGACTCCTGAAGAAAGACAGCCAAAGAGTTGACTTCTGGACTTCTGATTTCTAATGGGATACATTCTCTCTCTCTCTCTCTCTCTCTCTCTCTCTCTCTCTCTCTCTCTCTCTCTCTCTCTTCCTGTCTCTCTGTCTCTCTGTCTCTCTGTCTCTCTGTCTCTCTCCCTCTCTCCCTCTCTCCCTCTCTCTCTCTTCCTGTCTCTCTCTCTCTCTCTCTCTCTCTCTCTCTGTCTCTCTCTCTCTCTCTGTCTCTCTCTCTCTCTGATATACATACATGGGGAGGGGTTTCACAGTATGAACACTATTAAGTTTGAGATATTTACTAGCTAATCAAAGTAGCTAGATTGCTTTAAAAATAATTAAATTCAAGGAAGTGTCCAAGATTGGAGATATATTTATGTGATAAAGGTCCAAGACCAGTTCAGAAGGCTGACAGGGCAACAATGCTTCAAAGATTGGAGACAATGAAGAGACATGTTCAAGCACTGAGGCCAGTAAGAGCAGAAGGAAAAGGAGAAACGAACAAAGGAAATAAAGCCAGCAGTGATGTAGGCAGGAGACAAACAGTTTAAGTGTACAGGTCTTGAAGGCCAAAATGGAATTACTTTTTGGGAGGGGTGATAAAATGATTGAAGATCTGGAGCTGCTGGGAGTTGACATAACCACCTGTTCTACAGAAGTCACCAGTTCACAGCTCTCTTCCTCAAGTATCAAGGTCACAGAGTTTCCACTCTTCTATGATGTTCTCTGAGCCTTGGATGGGGAAGGATAATGCAGATGACTCATCCAAAGCTGAGCGCTCAGTTACTTATACTTGCTAGCTTGGCCAGTGATCTGTGTCTGGATCCACCACTACCTTGTTCGAAGAGACTTTTCTCAATAGCAAACCAGCAGACATTTTAACTTCAGTCTGGGAGGCCCTCCCTTGGAAGCCCCAACCTTGCTGGACTGACAGCAGATCCTTGCAGAGAGAGGAAGTGACTCTTCTTTGTAGACTTGGCTGCAAGTGCTAATTGGAGTCAGAGGGTTGACAACAGCAGAATGAAGGGTGAGAACTTGGGAGCCATTTCGGTAAGAGGAAGATGGAAAAGATCTAAATATACTGTATAATACTATGAGATTTTTAAAGAGAAAACTATTTTTAAAAAATGAATGGCAATCATCAAGTAAGATGAAAGGAGTGATTGTGACTTTGGAGATTTTGCTAAGCTTGACTACAGGTGTTATGAGAAAAACTGAAGCAGAAACCTGATCAGAGTGGACTCAATATTAGAGAGGACAGGCCCTGGGGTATTGCTCCAAGGTAGAGTCCATGCTTAGCATACGCAAGGCTCTGGGTCCAGCTCTAAACACCAGTTATCCTCGTGGAAAACTAAACTAAACCAAATAAAAACCTAGTAGTTTGAGCTGGAGATGTAGTCTAATGGCAGGTTATGTGCTTAGACTACATGAAAGCCCGAAAAGAGAAAGGAAGGAAGGATGGATGGAGAGGAAGAAGGCAGGGTGGTAGGGAGGGGAGACAGAAGATAAAGAAACCATTCCCATTCCAAGGTTTCTGTATCAAGCAGTCACCATAAGCGCTATACAAAGGAAGAGTAGGGGCTAATGACCTAATTTATGACCTGTGCTGCTGATGAAGATGTTTCAGTGAAATGTGAACAGCAATGGCCTATGAGAGAGAAGAACCTGATGACAGTTAAGGTGAAAGGATCTACTGTAGAATCTCAGCCCTCCACTGCCCAGAGAGCCTGTGTACTGGTGATAGTGGGTGGTCATGTCTCCCATGCATTGCTTCTGTTAGAGTAAGCTAGAATCAATGTTCGAGACAGAGTTTCTCTGTATAGCTCTGGCTGTCCTGGAACTCACTCTGTAGACCAGGCTGGCCTCGAACTTAGAAATCCACCTGCCTCTGCCTCCCAAGTGCTGGGATTAAAGGCGTGTGCCACCACTGCCCAGCTAGAATCAGTGTTCTACTCACCTGTTAACATACTCCGAGTTAGCACACTCTGGAAATGCAGCTTAGCAGACCCTACTTTGCTTTCGCCTCCACCACCGTTATAGCTGGCACAATTTTGACACGGATACGGTGCCTACAAGATCTTATCATAGACCACGTACACCCAGCTCTTCCTAAAGCTTTGCCTGACCACCCTGCATCAGAACTCTCCTTCCTCCTGCTTCAAAACGAATGAACATCTGCGCAGCAATTCCTCTAGAAGCAAATCTCATTTATTCTCAGGAAACACATCCCAGCTGGCACTGTTTGAATGTAATACATATTTATCAATAGACTGATCTAGGAAGTAAAGCAGGCAGAGGGGGCAGGCTGAATGTCCACTACTACTATCAGTGTTTTTAGCAGAAACTGATCACTTACATTTTCTAGGAAAACTGTACAACCCCCAAAGGAGAACAGCAACAGCACCACCTATCAGGGTCCAAAGGGTCAGCACTTTCTTTGCATCTGCACAGAAAGCAAGCAGACAGGTCACTATTTACCAGAGAAAAACAACAAGCAAACAAAACCTCCATTAAAAAAGCCACAATCTCTGTATCCTATACACAACTCAACCATTGATCTATTAGGAAATGGAAAAGCACTCAGGTATGACTTTGGCTTCCGTCTGCAGAGTACTTTGGCACTTTCAAGAGCTAAGCAAAATATTCTCCAGCAAGGCTTGCAGGACAAAACCCCAGTCACCACCTTTTGTGGCTTTGGGGAGGGGGTGGTTTTAATGAAATGTCTTCTGTTGCGGGGAGGGTGGGGCAGATCTGCTGGAGAGGGAGTGTATCGCCTTCATTTTTTTCTTTTAGTTTTGAGCCTTTGTTGATGATGACCACTTTCACTTAAGATCCATATCCATACCCTCTGCCTCACAGGCACAGGCTACCAGTCTTAAGCTGTAATGAAACCCTGTCATCTCCTTACCGAGCGTTAACCTGTGACGCCTGCGTTCATGGCTTGTCTGAGATAGTCTGAGTGAAGTGTCGGCCAGCATAGAAATGGCGCTCCAGTGACTACAGAGGTTGAGAAAGTTCTTAGGAGGAAAGGAGAACTGATAGTTATATCCGTTGTCTTCAAAGCTCTGGACTCAGAGGGCTGAGTTTCTTTGGGATCAAAACTAGGGCAAGATTGATAGATGGGTGAGATAGCACCAGTCCAGCGTGATGGTTCTGCATGGTGAGCCACAAGACATCTCACCGGCCTTGTCCTCGCTCCTCTGAGTGAGTAACGGCAGCGGCAAGCCGGAAGCGCTCCAACGGTGTTTCGCTAGCTGCCCCGATTGGCTAGTGGTCACGAAGCCTGATTAGCATCCTCTCTCCCTTCAGCTACCTAGTCTACACAGATTACGGCTTCCCCTTCCCTGGTCATTGTATATAGTCTCTCCCCGAACTATCTGATAAAGCAGTGTAACTTTAGGGTTGTTTGAACTAACTGTAAATCGCACTTATCCTCTCTTGATCTTTGAGCCCTACATCCACTTTTGTTTTGCTTTTAATCTCTTTCTTTTTATTTCCAACTGTCCTGTAAATTGCTTAATGAAATTTGGCAGAGTGAACTCATGGTAAATTAAGGTTTGTTTCCTACACAGGCGCTATCCTCTTCACAGAAGCTTAGAATGATAGATTCCTGCGAAGCTGGAATTATGCTTACAGATTTCAATAATTGAAGAAGGAATTATACCTTTCTTTAACTTTTAATTTCCTCCCCAAAACTGAAACTATTCTTCATCTTGTATTGAGGAATTGAAAGAGTAGTACACGGAATAATTTATATCTATAGTAATTCAAACATAAGAAGCATCAGCACTCTCATGTTTTATATGTGGTGGCACACATCTGTAATCCAATATAAGAAGACTGTTAACTGAGTTTGCTTTTCTGTTGCTGTGATAAAACACTCTGACCAAAAGCTACTCAGGGGAAAAAGGGAGAAACCCATCAGAGTGGCTGCTTCTGTTCTGCTTCCAGCAGGGAACTGAGCAGAGGCAAGGTTTATATAGGGTTTCTTGGGGGCAGAGTTTTCCAGGGTCAAGAGTTTGGTGGGATTTCAAGTCCTGAGATGTGGTGGGAGCTCAGGAATTGATGGGTTTTCATTATCAGCAATTTGGTGGGTTTTTGTGGATGAGAAATTGGTGGGATTCTGTGTTTTGGCCCTAGTCTTGGTCTTGAGGTCAGGTCAAGGTCAGAGTGTTTTTCCTTTAACCCTTTTTCCACACAAAGATGACTGCTAGAAAACCCTCAGAAGCACAATGGTCAGCAGAAGAGCCCTACGCAGCACAGGTACATGCTTTTATCACTCTCTTCCACAAAGAAGCAGAAAGAGAAGGTAGTGATTAGAGAGCATTTGATAACAACAGGGAAGAAGCCATCAGCCTACCTCCTTCCTTGTAGGTTTCCTGGTAAAGGAAGGTAGAGGGTTCACATGGAAATTTAAGTTTTTTAATGGTGGTTTTGAGTTCTGATTTTGTGCTGGACTGAACCTGATAATTACTCACCATAGATACTTTATTACTGAAAAGGAACGTAGAAACCTGTGCTTGTGCTCAGGGGTAGAGTGGGGTGGGAGAGGGGTCGGGTGGGGTGGGTGGGAATGCCTCAGTTGGTGAAATGCTTGCCCCTCAAACATAAGGAGAGGAGTTTGATCCTCAGAACCCAAGTAAATAAAGCCAGGTGTGGACACATGATGCCTTTGTAACGCCAGCACTAGGGAGGTGCAGGTCCTTGGGGTAAGTGTTTCTGGTTGGATGGGAGGATATCCTGGGACTCAGGAGCCCACACAGCTCAGAAGGGAGAAGGTGTCCCAGTGAAAGGGCATTGTGAGACATGGGGGCCCAGGAACAACGCAGATCTGAGGTGGGATGGTGTCCTAATGGAAGGGCATCCTGAGACAAGGGAGCTCGGGAACCTTATAGCTCAGGTTCCTTCATGCTGTGGCTGAACTCTCCAGAGGCTTGTAACACCAAGCCCTTTGTGAGCATGACTGAGAGTTACTGCTAGTGATTCTTCCTTCAGTACAATCTCACAAGTGCCATTTCCTATTGGAAAGTGAGGATAGAAGCAGAGAATTAAAAATATATTTCAGTCTTACAAATAACTTTTAAAAATAAAATGCTTTCCTTTAGAGGGTTTTGGTCTTTTGTCTACTAAGGAAATGTTCCTTGATTACTCTAAACATATTACTTTAAGCCTTTATGTCTCTCGTCTCCTCTGCCATCATCCTTTCATCTGGCCTGTGTGTTTTTCTACAGTCAGATTTTGAAATGAATTACTTCAGAATGCATAGTTCAGTGTTTTACGCGCCAAGTAGAGACAGTTTGTTTTTGACAGTAAGAGTGTGTGAGATTTAGATTCCAGTTCCCTGGAGGTGAACTAACTAAAAAAGTACATGATATAATGCTCTAACAGGGTCTGCAATGGCTTGTGGCAATATTGGAACTTGGTCTGGAGTAAAGTCTGTTGCTTGGCAACATCCCCTTCATTGTCCTGGCATCTGAGGCAATTTCACAATTGGTAGTACATTTGTCCCCATCACATCTCGAGGGGGTTTTGGGGGTGGGGCAGAGATGACTACAGCTGGACAAAGTGTTCTGTTGTATAAAGAACACACATGCTTCTGCTTTCCTGTTGCTGTGGCAGCCTGGATTTAGAAGCTGCCACTCTGAGGTTTCTCTTAATAGCAATCACACTTTGCAGAAACATGGCTCGTGGGGTTGTTACTTCATTTAACACTGTGGTTTAGACCTTGAATGCCTGGGGAAAGTCCGTGTGTTGATGCCTCAGGCCCGCAGGGTTAAATTTGTGGGAAGCGGTGCACTACATTAGAGGCAGAGGAAGGAGCTGGTGGTGATTTTGCACTACAGGCTTCCTGTTCTTTCCTCTTTTTCGTTTCTGCTTTTGGTCTGCAGTGGGAGGCTCTGCTTTACCATAACACTGTTGTGAACGAAGCAGTGTCTAATCCTCACATCGGAACATGCCATCCAGCAATGATCCGAAACCTCCACCCCCAAACCCCACCTGAGCAAAAAGAAATGCTCTTCCTCATGTCCCTTCCAATAGGGACCCTGGATCAGATGCCTGGATCCCTTTGTTCACTCTGAATCAAGAGTTGCCAAGAAACAGCTTCTCCAGTGTTGGTCATTCTGGGTTCTAGGTACCAAAGGCTGGACTGATGGACTCAGAGGTTTATATAGCTCCAAGCCCCGTGAAGATGCTCCAGGGCTTAGGACTCAGAGACAGGCAGTCTTATTGTTCACCACTTCTGTCGTCCTGTCCATAGTTGGGCATCAACAGCTAGTGAACTCTTTGACTCTAAGCAGCAGTAGGTGATGGTTACAGGAGGCAGCATGTAGCAGCTGCTAGTTTTATGGGTCAGGCTGCAGACGCTGAGCCCTTTGGTTGCTAGTGTTATAGTTTCTGGGCCTAAGGTATCAGGGCCTTAAGGCATGGCAGCATTGGTGACTGAAGAGAGGTTGGAATATTGCAGGTCCAGAGGTAAATTATGTTGGAATATGTTAGCCCCTTAAAAAGTCACTTATACACTACTGCATATGCTCTGACTATCAGGCAAAGCCTTTGGGAGTGTACTAAATGATCACTAACTAGTATTGGCCCCAAATTAAGAAAGTCTTTAGCCAGCATCTGAGGCCTTTAGAGAGTTCTCTGCCTTGCTGCAACTCATCTATCTTATATTTCCACCAATATGTTTGAAAAGTTTGTTGATTGAATTTGTTTTGTTCTGTTACTTATAAAAAAAATCATGAGGTCATTGTCACATTGAAATACAGAATTTGAGAGGAAGCACAGAAAATACAGTTTAAGTCCATTTTCAATAGTAAAGGCCACTTCAACTCTGCTATCTAGTTCTGAAAGTAGGAGACACTGCCTGGTAGTTTCATGTTTTGGAAATTTGCCTTTACTGAGGACCTACTTGAGACTCACTAAAGATCAGGTCAAGCTCCAAGTCTACTTTAAGATGTAGATCCACCACCTTATTCTGGGAAAAGTCAAACCTCTGAAAGCACAGAGCTGAGATTACTGATTGCTGGATACTATGAGTGAAAAAAAATCAAATCAATAGTCTGACTTACTAGTGGTAGATCTAAATGAAAGGTACAGATCCTTGGTTTTAAGAATCAGTCTTTAGGGATGTCTATGTCATACATAAAGCATGTATACGCTGTCAGTGCTTATACCTCTTGGTTCAACACTGGCTTGCAGGTGAGTGCTCACAAGAACTGAGTTGTTCCATTACCCCACATTCATTTAGTTCTTAGTAAAACCAGAATTTTAAAGGAACAAATGAAGCAGAAGAAGACAAAACAAAATGTCTCAAACAGCCCTACACAGTTAGACTTGGCTACCCATTCAAGAAAGTCAAATGAAAGAGTAGAGTAGTGATTAGGGACAAGGAGAGGATTTTCCGATCCATATTAACATGCTGGTGAGTAAACAGAGGCACCTGAGAAGATGTGGGGAGGCCAGAGTGGATTCTGGAAGAGTTAGGGGCAAGAAGGGAGATGAATAAGACCAAAATACATCTTGGTCCATGTATGAAACGCTCAAAGAGTTAATACAAATATTACAATAAAAAGGAACCACCAAGGAAAAAGGAGATATAAAAGTTAGAAATATAAATGTAGTTTTGGTAAAGGCTGGAGGAAGAAGAAATTCTTGTAGATGAGACTTTCATATGATAAATTGAATTTTTATTCAATGCTAAAGATGGTTTCAACCTCTCATGCCTCCCCATGTGCTGCAAGTGGAAGAGTTGGTCCTGGGGTCACGAGAGTGGTAGTGCTGTCCCTGTCCCTCACCTCTGCAGCACCTGGAAGAGCAGGGTCCTGACTCTCACCTAAGTAGCACAGTAGAGCTGGCCTTTGTTGTAGGGGTTGCAGGTGAGCTGGTCACGAGGGCATGAGTGCAGGACAGCTGGTTCCGTCACTTGTCTGCTGTGCAGTGGCATGGGTAAGGGAAAGATGTTCTTCCTGCTTTTGCCCCTTATCACCTGCAGCTGTGGGAAGAGCTGGCCCTGTGGTTATGAGAACAGGAGAGGTGGCCCTGCCTCCCATAGGCTGTAGCAGGCAGGAGAGAGGGGCCTGTATCTTGCCTGAGCAGCACAATAGAGCTGGCCCTCCTGGAATGGAGCAGGTAAGCTGGCCTGAATGGCAAGAGAGCCAGAGATCTAGCTCTGCCCCTTGCAGGCTGCAGCATT